TGAACTCCTATTTCACACAGTTCTTTAGTGTCTTTACATTTTCCGGTAGCACCATTTTTAAGTTCTGCCTGAGTAGATATTGTTTGTTTTGATTTGAAAGTTTCACTTTTTTCTGTCTTGTCTCTAACTGAACAGTCAGTCTCTCTTTGTGTCTTTCTCTTGTTGGATTTTTTCTGGAAAGTTGGTTTGCACAGTCCATCACATATCCAAAGTGGCCCAGTTTGACTGTTGTTTTCGATTTCTTTAAATATGTCCTCATACTCTTTTCTGGTCTCATTCATCCATTTTCTGACCAAAATGCCTCTGAATAATGCCTGGAATATACAATACATAAAATGACAGAAAATGGCAAAAATACACAATCATATAAAGTGCCTGTAATTTGACAATGATTTGATATTTTGTAAGTTAGAAAATGATTTATATACAGTGTAAATAAAAAGAAAGAAACCTGCATAAAATATCCCATCTTGACAAAATATGTATTCTGAGATTAGAAAGCTCATCTGGTCAATGAGAAAATGATTGCAAATTGCACAGGTGTCGTTATCATTTAATATCCTGGAGTGGGCTGGATAAATTCTTAGCAAATACATGACATAATGTAAAATATTGCCCAAATTTGCTTTGTACAACCTGGATCTTGATTCAGTCATATACATGTGCAGATTGCTTTTAAATTGTAGTTGAATTGAGTATATGTTATGTAATTTTAAAGCAACTCAAAATATCTTGACTATTGTATTAAAATTTTGCTATTATAATGGTTTGGATCATGGATATCGGCCTAGGTAGCAGTTGGTAGAACACTGACGCAGTCACGCAGGGGTCCCGGGCTGGGTTTTATATACTTCCAGTCCAGTTGTATACATTTTTACCTTTCCTTTTAGAGTTTTGGAGCTTTGACCACCCCTGGAATTTCAGGTGAAAGTGCCATGGTTTAATAAGAACTTGGGTTGTGTCTGAGGGAGAAGACTGTTGAAGGAGGGAGAGATCAAAAGACCATCAAAAATCCGAGTAAATCGCTAGATATACTTATGATTCTGATAGGACATATTCTAAGTAAGGTATAAAGCTTGTCTCAAGATACAGATTATAGAAAAATGGACCACAGGCCTCTGAATTTCTATCAATAAGCCGTTATATGATTGATCAGAGTGATATACATACCCCTTCAATATAGAGGGGATATACTGTAAATCGAGAATATTTGGCACACAACTAATTTTAGAGCCTTTGGTGCAAAGCCCCTGAACGCTAAAATGTATTGTGCGCTAAGATTTCTCAATATTTTTTGTGTGTGTGTTCAAAGCTTTCACATAAGTACATGTACATGTAAACTGGAACGTGCTATTATGTAATGTCGAAGGGCCGTTGGGTTTTATATATACACTAGCACTGTACATGGTAGGATGGATTGAGAAATTTCTGCCATATTATAATTTTATTTAACTTTTGTTAGTTGTAACCTGATACTTCTCAGCGTGTCAATCATATTTCGCCTCGAGGTAAACAATGCAATCAAGCATGACGATTGAGCTTGCAGACAATACCTGGTTATGTTTATTGTTTATCCAAGTAACTTTCTTTCGATGCATGGATTGTTTAAATCTGAATATAATGTGTTAATACTCCATGTCTTTTATTTCTCCAATAAAATTAAAATAAAATTTAACATTGTGCCACATCCATGTGATTGCAACACTGCGGTAAAGTTAACTTATATAGGGGAGCGCTATTGTGTTTCCGTGCTTGACTAACCAAAAAGTCAAATACGGGAGTGGATAAAAAAATATCACATCTATATAATATCAACAGGTCCCTGATTTTAATGACAAGTGCAAGCGCTAAAATTTATTTGCGCCAATGCATTCCCAATTGTGTTTGGGCTAAAATACGTACGCGCCAAATTTTCTCGTTTTACAGTATATATCACTCTGATCAAATCATATAACAGCTCACTGATAGAATTTCAGAAGCCTTTGAATGGACACCCTACATAAGGTCTGGTACAATCACTAGATTTAGCATGTTTAGCTATGTAGCTTGATTTACCTACATAACTTTATTTACTTACCTGAGGTAGCTATAATTATATTTATTTCTATAAAATAGCATTTTTCTCAGGGTGTACAGAAAATATCATTTTGATACGGTGATCATTTTCAACTTTGAACTCATCTAAAAACAATTCATGAAAAAATCCCTCTTGAAGATATGTCTTTTTCTGCGCAATTGCAATCAAAGTTCTGAAAGTTTTGGGGCTATGTATGACAGTTAGAACAGTTATTCCTTGAATGAAATGACAAAGAAGTCCAATTTTGGTTAACACAATAATAGGTCGGTAATTATTCAGCACAATGTGAAGTAATCATTCTCAGCCATGCCTCACCCCACGCATGAGAGAAGAAAGTTAACCAAACAATGGAATTGCACGCTCTGCACTAAACTGTCCAAACGCAGCAATGTATAAACTATCTCTGCTTTGGAATGTTTTTTTTTTTAAACCTCCCTATTATAAATATCAAGTCATTTAATTGCGATTTTTTCTCTTTTTAATAAAAAAATAAAAAGTTACATTTAAATAGCCAAATAAAGCTACCTGAGGTAGGTTAATAAAGCTATGTAGGTAATTCTACATACGTAGCTAAATCTAGTGATTGTACTGGACCTGCAGGCTGTACATTTCTTTTTCTTTGCTCGGTTTCATCCTTTGGAAAACAAGCCAAACTTTTATATACAATTGGTTTTTTTTTAATTTATTTACATAAAACAATTTCATGCTATCATTTTAATGTACATATACCTGTATCTTAGTAATTTCTGCTTCGGTATATTCGTTTTCAGCCAAATCTTCCGCCATTAATTATGTAAATGTTTGATGTACTAATAAATAATTTATTTATTTATTCATCATTCATTCCTTTTTATTTATTATTCTTTTTAAAATTAATCAATTAATTTATTAATTTATTATTTTAATTACGGAGCTAAGTGACGGGGGCCCACTTTTTAAAAGGTATTAAAAAACCCCGGACTTTTACTTCAAATTTTGAGCGCTTGGCAAAGGAACAGTCACTCCCTTTTGTTTATGTCCAGGTATGACGGGCGCCGCAACAGAATCAACCGGGGCCTCCCATCACGAAGCGAACGCTCTACCACTAGGCTACCGTGACCAGTTGGGGGTGGAGGGTGGGGAGGGGGGTGTCTTAATAATACTGAATGGCAAACATATATTTAGGTACGGTATAGGAAGGAATTTTCCTTCTCCAATAAAAGACTATTTTTAACAGTGGGTCTTTTCTAACATTTAAAATCACGCTATCAATTTAATTAGTTTTAAAGATATTTAATTAAGTGAATATTTGCAGTACCGTTCATGATTCTCAGATCTACGTTTAGTTTAAAATACGTGTTACTGTAGAAATAATTTTTTTTTGTGTATTCTTGTCTTGTAAAAGACTTTAAGGATTAATTATTATACATTCGTTAATGATCTGTCGTCTTTAACATTGCAACAAATTATTGTCGTGCGTGAAGCATTTGTACACTTCCTTTTTTTAAATTTAATAATTTAGCATGGATCTGCACACACATATAGGTACTTAATATATTATTTTCCAGGGAAATTTCATGAATAAAAAACAGCTGAATTATAATAAAAGAAATAAAAATATCATAGATAATTTTTGCAATGAAATAATTATTCTTTAATCACGATATCTAATTCATTTAAGAGCATGTCTACGAGAAAACCATGCAAAAGGTAATGGGAGCAAGGTTCTCTGATCAACTTCATGTTTTGTTTGTAAATTTCTTCTATAATATGAAATGTTTTGCCACAAAATTTTTTCAGTGTGGTCTCACTTAAGGGGTTAAATCGACACTGTTACTAAAAATAGAATTCTTGGTCCTTACGCAGGGTGAAAACAGGAATTTTATAGGATTTTATATTGAAAAATCCAGCATTTTACTTGATAATGATATAAAATATCCATTTATGGTTGAAAGTAACAAGATACACTTGTTTCGGAAAATTTTTCATTATCACAAACTGTGCCCCCGTTTGAGTGCAAAAAGGTCACAAATCTGGCATATTTCCAGATTTCTGAAAACAGGTAAAAAATATTCACTTTTCAAAAACCTATAACTCAGAAAGCGACGCTTAGAATCAACTCAATCTGATACCAATTATTAGACAACATGTCTGTCTACATTATATAAAAAATCTGTCTTTGGACTCTCAAATATTTTCTGTACTTTTTACTTAAAGTTGGACATTTTTTGTGAATTTTCAAATTTTCTCATCCCTAACCTTCAGCAAGGAGTTATTTTGCTGATTTAAATAATTTCAAAAATTTTAATTTCGCTGTTGAAAAATACCAGTAAATTGTACATTTTTGTTTTCAATCAATGATTATTTCTTAGAGGGTTAAATGGGGTTAATTGGGGGGGGGGGTCACCAGAATTGTATTATTTTACATTTTCTTTGAAAAGGGTGATATCCACATACTGCTTCGTACCTCTTTGTCAATCAGTAGACCAAGAGTGTTCTCTCTTATCTTAAAGAAAACATTTGCTTGATAGATAATAAACATAATACACTGGTACCTACTAATATGTAGATGGCCCCTTTTAATTTGGAGTTCACAAGGTCAAAGGTGAAGGGTTATAATTCTCAATATACCCGTATATAGATTTTAATCATTGAAAATCTTGAGGACCCATTGCTTGACAGACATCGAATTTAGTGCACTGGTTTCTTGAAAAGTAGAGGACCCCTTTAGATTTTGAGGTCGCAATGTCAAAGGTCAAAGGTCAAACTGAACAAAAAGCAATATCAGAGCCATTTTCTTGACAGACATATTGTCATGACAACAAACTCAAAGTGAATGAACACCAAGTTTTAAAAATCAACAAATTAGAACATTTATAATTTTTTAATTTCATTGCAGATTAAAATTTGATATTACTCAACAACTAAGTACATTCAACAACAACAAAAAATTACAATGCTTGACTGCTTCCTGATATTTTATATTCACTTCCAAAATTAAAATGACCTTGAAATTTTGTATGCTTGAAAAAAATCTACTTGCTTAAGCATACATCATGGTTCTAAATTAAGATAAGATTTAAAAGAAAAAATCACAGTTTCCCAAATCATATTCTGAATTATTTGCTTTACCTGCATACAGGAAATTAGTCTTAATAATAGTGTTATATTTGGTAAAACTAAAGCACTGCTGACCTTGAACTTTGATCTTTTCTAACATAACAAACACCTAAAATTTACTCTGAATTTTTGTGTATTCCTGCAAGTGAAACCTGATACATATTAAATATCAAGATGTTAACAATGTTTAAGTACATGTACCAATAAAATCTTATAAGTTAACATATATGAAATACCCTGAAATTTTGGCTACTACACTTCTTCAATCATAAACTGTCTTTTTTTCTTCATGTTTGGTACACCATTAGGGTTGATCTTGAGGTCTCAAGCTTTTAAAATCTATAAGGTGTATCCAAACTATTCTGTTCAGTATGACCCCATTTTCTTCCTATGGAGCATCCAATACCTTCTGGAGAAATTGAACAAGCACTGAAATTTCCACTCCTGCTTTAAAGAAGAACTGGACTGTCTCCAAATACACAAAAGTAGTACTCAAAGCATGTACCTGTGAAAAAGGACAGTTTTCAAATTAAACTGAAATAAACCATACTAGACATATTCTAAGACTTTTAAAATAAATGTCATGTTTATGATAATACTACATTTATATTTTCCAATTGAAGAAAATGTCATCAAATGACTTGGGTAAGATTCTTCACAAATTCTTCTGGCTATCTTTGAAGAAAACAAGAGCTTCATATATCCTTGAAGTAAAGTAACAGAATAGGGAGAAAAGCATGTGGCAAATCAACAGACAGACAAGGCAATTCCTATACATGTACTATAGTATAACATATCTTTACCATTTTCTCAGCAGTGGCAAGTAATTGTTAATGCTTATGCTACATTGTCTCTCCTCTTCTTATTTCTGGATTCTGTTCACAAAACTACATTGGAAACCCTATGTTGTAATTCTTTATAGCTCCATAGCTGAATATCCCATTGTAAAGCCCAGCCCTAACCAGGGAAATGAATTTGAATAATCTGAAATTGCACAAGAAATATAAGAATGAAATGAAATATACTTAACAAAGTATAATTTCTCAGACTTATATTTATAATATTATTGCTTTAAACACAAACCTGTCAAGGAACACATGGTGACCTTTAATTTGAAAAGTCTGCAGTCTGCACAAGTATTTGACAAGAACTTTTTTTTCTAATAATTGTGATCTCCCAGAAAGAAAATTCAACTATTCCACAAATCCGAAAATCATAAGTGTAGCCATCTTCATAACATCTCAAAAAAATGTGAAAAAATATTTTGTTAAATGAGATTCTTTATAATCATGGATCCCACTTATGAGGTAATAATGGTGATTTAATTGACAGTGAAGACCCATCTATCCAATTCTTAACGTACCCTATTAGTAAACAGTCTTTGAAAACCCTGGACCTATTCAACTTTTCATTCCCTCTTCATCACCCCACAAAGGCTACTTATGCTATTTATAATTCTGCAGATGTGAATATTTTGCAATATTGTTGAATTTATACATATATTTTTGTTGCTACATGTACATGTACCAACCTTGAAATTTCTCTTGACATGTTTGCTAGGTATATATTCAGGTCCAGTACAATCACTAGATTTAGCCACGTAGGTAGAATTTCTTTTATAGAAATAAATTACTTTGGTACAGAGCTCAATAAAGCTACTTAAGGTAGGTAAATAAAGCTAACTAAGTAGGTAAATCAAGCTACGTAGCTATAAAAAAAAAATCTAGTGATTGTACCAGACCTGATATTGTCTTGTAAAAAATCTTCTCTTGTACATAATCAAGTCCCTATCAAAATTGTTTATTTATTTATTATTTACATATCAATAAGCCTTTTTATAATTACATAGTATTATAAACCAAGGTCCAACTACCTGTTTCTTTTTCAAATTCAAACATTGTTGATTCGGTATCATCATCACGGGACCATCATCACTACATCCGTCTCGCTACCAAATGAATGTTCGCTGTCAGAATCGTATTCATCAAAATAAGAGTCAGAATCTGAAGACTCGTTGACAATTCACGCACCTGAATCTTTTTCTGAGGACGTACTTAACTACAAAACGTCGCAGTATACCATAATGTTTAACATGGGTTACGGAACCGTATATCGATCCCGATGCATTTCATAATTTTTTATGTAATTTTTACATAGGCCACTAGTATATACGTAACAAATTATATTCACAGGAAAGGACAATTTTCTTCAAATCACTTATAATTTATGCCTAAAACGATTAGATAACTTCGTAAACATAATCAATATCTACCTTCTCTACAGAAGAGCGCAACAGGGGAGATAATTCTAACAAAATCTAAATAAATAGTAAAATACGTTTTTTTCACAGGAAAAACAGGGAAAAAAATTATTTATAACTTTTATAAAGCTAAAAATAATTTTATTTGTTTATATTTGTAAATATTTTACACAAAACTCATTAAAATTACTGTTAAAAGTTAAACTTATAAAATCATAAATTTTTCCATCATTTGAATTTGAGGTAATTTTATTATGATATTTCTTTTCTGTCCTTGAGAGTCCAAAGGTGGATTTTACATACTGTTGGGATGGTATCCTAGAGATTTTTAAATGCACAAAATTCTTAAAAAAGAAGCGTCACTTTCTAAGAAATATATCCCTGAATATTGACAAAAAATGAACCATTATCATTTCTTGGCACCATGCCAATATTTTTGCCCTCGGGACAGCCTTTATAGAGGGGTTTCACAAAAAAATTGATTCCAACTTAATTTAACGACTTAGTTCTATGAGAAAACATTGGCCTTTCATTTCTATATTTTTTTTCTTTTTTACTTTTAAATATTGAAATTGTCATTTTTACACCAACTTTTTTGCATTTTCCCCTGAATATTGACCAAAATGAATTATTGGCTGTTATTAAAAATAGAAACAACCCAAGCAAAAATAAACAACATATTTCTGACTCTCAATGGGTGTCCTTTAAGTTAATAATAAAAATTAGTTTGTTCTTGAGACTGCCTACCTGGGCATTTTTCTATATATCTGCATGGATTTCTCGTAGACAGACTCTTAATTAATAAACATGTAAATCCTTACCATCAAAAAGATAAGTGCTTTCACTTCGGAATTCCGAATGACAATGAAGACTGAACGATAGGTGAACGGTGAACGCAAGGTGAACGCAAAGTAAACGGAACGAAGAGCGAACGGTGAACGGTGAACGCGAGCGCACGGTGAACGGTGAACGCAATACTGTGGACAGAGAGCGAACGTAGAACACACGCTGAACGAACGGTGAGCGAACGGAAAAATGGGAAAGTAAAACGTTTCAGGGACTGTATACACGTTGTTTTTTTATTATCTAGCGACGATAAGAATTTCTTGTAATCTAGGAAGAGTTTACGGAAGTTCCATGGGGTCTGGTTTTTAAATTGCCTAATTAATGAAAAAGGCAACAACGGGTAACTAAGCAGTTTCTTGTAAATGGACCCCCATAAAACTTGTTAACCGTTGTCAGAGAGGGCCTTGAATGGTTTTCAATCAACCGTGACGATGACATTAAAAACACACAGTCATGTTATGAGTGGGTTATTCGTCCTGCCATCTCTTAAATCGCCATATTACAACCATAAAAACCGCATTATCATTACATTCACATGAAATATGAAAGAAAACAGTTCCACAATTTGGTTTATTGAGCCGGTCAACTTTCTCTTACTCTTGTGCTCCTCTTACTGGCGCATGCGCACGTCGTATGACTAAGTTTTCAATGTGGTTACCCATGCAAAATATATCTAGGGTTTGAAAGATTAACACTCTTATGAATTTCATGGAAAGGAGAAATAAGGCTCGTGACAGATGAGCGGGGAGAGACATTGAAAATAATGAGAGATTTCGATTTTCCTTTTTTGGGGGTACCGTCATATGATCTTCAATAACTTTTGAATTTTTTGACAAAATCAAATGGTATTTTGTTATACCTTTTTAAAAGATGATTTTAAAAGTTAGAAAGGAATAAAAAAAAAATTAAAAGAAAAATGAATTTAATATACCTTAAAATTTACCCTGCCTTTCTTTTTCCTTTCAGAATTTTTTCAGTTAATAGAAAACATAACACACAATATGCAATCAAGTGTTCATATATCGCCGACATTATTAGATGATTTTTATTCATTGCATGTCTTCTACAGAATATGCGTATCATAAAAGTTGTATTTCTTTTTAAGAAACCGTCAACATATGAAAATGTTATCAAATGTTTTTTTAGGACATCATGCGTCTAGACAAACAGGGATCCAATTTACGACACAAACATTGCTGGAACCCGCTATACATACTCCTTCATCTACTGAAAATATCGACATGAATAGCTGTAGAGAAGAACCTAGAAATGCCCCGATATCCCCTCTATCTCCTGGAAATTCAGAGCAGGAAGAATGCCACATTGTCCCAGTCAATTTAAATGTGATCTCAAATTTCAAAGATGATCATGTGAAAGATCGGACAGATGAGTCCCCTCCTTCCTACAGCAGTTTGTTTGAATAATTAGACCTGCCTATGTCATCATGTCGAGTGTGAACATCTTCCTTCATATTAAATATGGTTTATGTGCATAATGCAGAAATAAGCTGACAATTTAAACTAAACTATTTTTTTTCTCTACGCACATACAAATCTTTATCAAATGAACCCTAAGCAGGATTTTGAACAAAAAGGAACGTATTATTTATCATTTATAGATTAAATTCCATATAACTGTTTAAAAGTACTAAGAACTATCTTCCTTTGGAGCTTAGCCACCCACTCACCCTCCAAAAAAGTTATAGTTTTTCCCGAATTCTGATGATGAAGAATCTCTGATTGAATGTATTCAATTTAAAAGAAATAACTGACTAGAAAATTATATTAGGGCTGTTTCGGCTAAAAATAACCCGAAATTTTAATATGACTCATAAAAGCATGATTATTGCGTTAAGATATTGACAAAACCAGTCCTGTTTCGGGTAATTCTGAGTTGGTTTGAAGATATGTACGATACTGTAACTGAAACATCAGAATTGCATTCACATGACATGGTAGGGTATTGACTGGTCACACTTGCCGTGTAATTTTTGTTTAAATTGTTAACAACAGAAAATCTGTTGACAATTCAGTTTTTTTCTTCTTTATCAAACCCCTGTGTAAGACAATTGTGCAAAAGTTCATGATTTGATGACGCAGTCGCCGTAAATATTTAATCTTTAACATAGTTTCGAGGGGTTTGGATACAGAAGCCGGATCAATGGCTTAACAAATTTAACTATCGTGTGTTCTGTGTGATATTTCATTTTTGTGACACAACGGCATATGTCACGCTTCTAAATAGAGAATAGAATTGTAGATATTTTATGTTGCATTTCACATACATACTGCATTACACTACTACGATGCTTTTGTATTATGTTTGTTTCACCAATCTCTTGAAATAATTTTTTTCAGACATTTTTATAAGAGTGCATAAAAAATATGGAGGTAACGAACAATATTTACATTTTCAATAAATTTCCCCTTTGATTCTTTACAAAATAAAATGCAGTATATTTTCTCATGAACTACATTAGGTATGTATCACGAATAAGCATGAATATCTCCATTGTTACGTCATAATACCGCTCTCGACGTCAAAAGGTCAAAAAATATAGTGCACCCTGTTTTGTTTTGAAAATGACAGTTGAACGGCGTAAATCTATGGCAATTTATCAGAAAAATAACGTAAATATAAGTAATAAATTTAATATTTTGAAGATTCATGACGTATATAAACTACAACGCTTCACGCAGGCATATTCATCATGAAGCGCTAATTCACTTCATGAAATATGCCGGCGTGAAGTGTCGTATTTCATAACTTCATGAATCTTCAAAAATTAAATTCATTTCTTAATTATTCAAGATCAAAAGTCCAATAAACAGTACAAAATAGGAGCAGAGCAAACAGTCTGACCTCCAAAACATCGGAACTGGGACCACGTGCCATGGAGGAGTTAGCATTCCCTGCCATACGGTCACATCTGCCATATGCCTCTTGTCAAGATAAATAATGGAAAAATTCGTCGTCAATTCAGTGTATAAATAATGGAATAACAACTAGTATGAAAACGTCATTCAGCATTTGACTCAGTGATAAATTGTTTTTGCTGACAAGGTCATTGTAACTACCAAAAAACTTACGAAATGATGACTTCAAACAAGGCAGCTGATATTCTTGTTTCATCAACTTATTAGTCAATTATTTACCTCGTTTCAGAAGTTGTTCATTTATGAGCATGCTCTTGCGTATTGAATTAACTTATATATATATATATATATATATATATATATATATATATATATATATATATATATATATATATATATATATATATATATATATATATATATATATATATATATATATATATATATATATATATATATATATATATATATATATATATATATATATATATATATATATATATATATATATATATATATATATAAACTCCGTATGCGGGAGTTGAAGGTATATTGAGAAATAAGTAAGGGAAGTTGACGATAGAAAAGTTAAAGTCGTCATAGAATTTGGTTGTTAGATTGCCTTTAATGTATTTTTTAAGTAATACATCCAAATGTGAAACAGATATGTGCGATTCTTTTATTTCAAGCTCACCAAGATAAATCGTATCGACATAAGAATGAAAATAACAATTTACGTCGTCGATATCTCTAAATGTCAAGTTAAAGGCCACAGCAAGTGCTTTCTTATTTTGAAGCATAAGATTTTGCAAATATTCTGCTTCATATAAATACATAAATAGGTGTGCCAGTAAAGGGGCGCAATTGGTACCAATGGGAATTCTAGTAGATTGTTGAATTACCAGGTTTCCATAAACCACATAGATGTTGCCTTTTAAAAACTCGAGCATCTCTTTGATTTCAACTTCATAGTACTTGTGAGTGCAGTCAGGATGTTTTTAACAAAATAATTTCGCAAATGCCCAATGGCAAGGTAAGTAAATTTATGAATTCTATTTTTATTGAAAAAGCTGTAAATGATAAAAAAACAGATTTTAATTTATTATTCGGAATAATTGTAAAGTAAATTAAATTGAATAGTCGTAAGTTTTATAACTTTTGGTGAAATATGAAGAATTCAAATTGTCCAAAAGAACCTTTGAATTTTTAAGCACCCATGTTTGATTTACACCACTTCTTTAATATGTTGTTTCACAGTACTCTTGAAGTTTTTTTTTTTACCATTGTTAATATCTTAATTAAGGGTAGAGAAAAGGGATTGATTGAAATTTACTGGAACCCGCTATTTATCTTTGTT